GACATCCTGTTACGTGGGTAGGACTCTGAGGGATGACGAGCAGCCTGTCTCCAGTCTGAGCTATTCACTCTCCACGTCACAAGTGAAACACAGAATGCACCACTCAACACGTGATTGATTGCATTGCTGAGCAATTGCAAAGTATTTGTAATCTGTCTGTCTGTCCTCTATACTTTGTCCCCAGGTCCAGAAAATCTAACTGGGCCCCAATTCTGATAATACAGGAAGGAATAATGACAATATTAAAGGTGACTAAAAAAGCACCTCCCTACACCCTCTCACCTACCTTGCCCAGGAGACCAGGAAGTCTTGCAAAGCCAGTGACTGTCCCTTTTCCTCTCCTAAGCTCAGGCCAGAGGAACAAGGAGAGTTGGGCTCTGATACAAACTTATTGACGGCTGTTTAGATTTATTTTTTTCCCCTAAAGAAACTTGTATTGGTGAGAGACAGGACTGAGGAATAGACTGTCTCTACAGCCCTGTGTTGTTTCCTATCATGAAAGGCTTTTTTCAAGGCTATGGAACTGGTGAGGGAGGTGGTTGCCTCAGCCAGTCACTGCCTGAGGTTGGCCGTGGCTCTGTCTCCCGGGCCTAGGTGGTGATTGCTATTGGGGTATCGGAGTCTGGGTAGTGGCCTCTGTGTGACTATCTGAGGGAGCTCCTTTTGTGCCTTGTATCTGCAGTTCATCCAATGGAACATCCACAAGAGTGGCCTCAAGGTATCTGAGTACAACCTCCCTTCAGATGCCACTGGCCCCTTTGTCCTGTCTGGCTACAGTGGCTACAAGCAGGTTCAAGTTCCCAGGGGCCGGCTCTTCGCTTTCGACTCAGAGGGCAATTACATGCTGACATGCTCTGCTACAGGGGGCCTCATCTATAAGGTAAGTGGGTGGCAGAGTACTGGCGGGGGGGGGGGGAAGGGACTTTTCTCTAGAGGTCAGCTTGGCTGACCTGAGATGAGTGTGGGCCTTTGTCCTGCACAGCTGAGTGTGGGCCTGTGTTCTGCATAGCCAAGTGTGGCCCTGTGACCTATGTCCTGCATAGCTGAGTGTGGCTCTGTCTCCTCTGTCCTGCATAGCCAAGTATGGCCCTGTGCCCTCTGTCCTGCATAGCCGAGTGTGGCCCTGTGTCCTCTGTCCTGCATAGCTGAGTGTGGGCCTGTGTTCTGCACAGCTGAGTGTGGCCCTGTGTCCTGCATCTGTTAAGATTCTGCCCTTTTTTCGTCATATTCCTTGGAAATAATAAATACTCACAAAGATATCAACAGGGCAAAGGCCTTGGGTGCGTGGACCCATGTGCCTCATGGGTCTGAGCTAGCTAAATTGCTTTCCTCGCTGATTTAGAATAGGTTATTTTATAGGAGGCCTGTGGGTCATGTACACCAAAGTCTGCACGTGAGACAGAAATTCAGGGGTGTTCTTTGTCAAGCTAGGATACAAGTTGTCTACATAGTTCTGACTTTATTTTTGAAGATTTATTTTATTTATATGTGTGTTTGCGTGCTATATGTATTTATGCACGTGTATGTGGTGGTACCAAGAAGAAAGTGGCAGAACCCATGAAATTAGAGTTTCAGGTGGTTGTCAGCAACTCTACATGGATGCTAGGAGTCAGACTCAAGTCCCACTTGGCAAAAGCAAGAAGCGCTCTCAACTACTGAGCCATCTCTTTAAAAAATGGATTGTATTTATCTCTAGTTATCTGTTTATCTATCTTTTATTTTTGTGTGTAGGTACATGTATGACACAGGGGTCAGAGGTCATCATGTAGAACTCAGTTCTTTCCTTCTACAACGTGATTCCTGGGGATTGAACTCAGATCCTTGGTCTTGGCAGCAAGTGTCATTACTACTAAGCCTTCTTGCTGGCTTATCCACATTGTTTTTGTTCCTGTTTATAGACTGGAAAAAAAAAAAAACCAACCAAACAAAAGCAAAAGCAAGCAAACAAAACCTCTCCAGTCAGAGCTGCTCAGTTTGATTCAGGGTGTTGTACCACTGAGAGACTGAGTGCCTGGCCTTTTCACTGGGATCATCCAGAGATGAGGGCTGAGGGCCCAGGACCACGTGTCTGGTGCTGTGAATTCCTCTGTCTCCTTCAGTGCTCATTTGAGAGTGTTTCCCTGCCAATGGTATTTAGTCTGTGAGATGGAGGATTCCTCTCAGTGTCTGATGCCACTGCTTGTCAGTCAACAAACAGCTTGGGTTTGAACAGCAGTTGTGTGCTGGGCCTGGCATCACTGTACTGCAGAGTGGACCAAGGGGTTAAAAAAATGTTGTCTGTGCTTGCCTGGGGTTCAGACACAAGTTAGACAGCACTAAAAGTAGGTGACAGACACACAGCTAAGCCCTGAGGAGCTCCCAGAGAACATGGGTGGGGACCAAGTTCTCAGGAAGACCTAGAGGGATGCTGCAGTCTATGGACTGGGAAGAGAAGGGGTTGGGGACATGGGAGAGAGCACTCTTTGGGCCTCAGGCTGGGCAGAGGCCGGTGGGGGGACTCTGTGGGCTGAGTGGGTGCTGAGACAGGAAATGAGGTCACACTGACCCATGGCTGCTCAGTGGCACCCAGGTCTGCAGTCAGAGAGGCTCCTCTTTCTGCAGAGGGCAGCATTACTGTGTTCTCGGCCTCCCTGCCACTGTTAGCTGCATGATCTCTCTGGGTCTCTCCTTCAAGACACCATAAAACACTAGTTTCAAGCCTAGTTTTCCTCTTTAAGGCTTGTTGTAGTTGACTTCCGGGAGAGCTGTTCTTTGTTGTGTGTATGGAGGAATGGTTGTAGATACACTTTATTTTAAGGCATGCAGCCTCTCACCCGTCAGTTTATGCGATGCACGGTCAGACTTGCTCTGTAATCAGATGATAGGTTGACAGGTTTTCTTGTGTAATTTTTTTGAAGTGTCATCAATGGTTCCACTTACTTAGGGTGTCTGCTAAGCGTCAGATTCATTTTTACAATCCATAAATAGCTTAACTGATGGCTTTTCTAGTGATGTCTTCACGACCGTGAATGCTGTCTGCCGCTTGCTCTCAGGTATCATAGTGTTGCTAGGAGTCGTCTTGTTTCTGGTTTCCACTGCAGTGCCTGTTAGCATCTGGCCCTTCACCCATGCTCACAGTTCTAGATGGTGGGTCAGGGGTGAGGTGCTGGATGACAGGCATGTTCACACATTCATCAAGGCCTTCCTGTGCCTGGCCCCATTTGGAGTGATACAGCTGGTCATAGAGGTCCTGCCCTCCCAAAGTGTGCACGCCCACCGTGAGAACTGTGCCTCAGATGAGTAAGTCCACAAGCTAGAGTCAGCCAGCGGCTGGCAGGTGATGCTGTAACAGTGGATGCTGTGGGAACATACAGGGTAGGTGCAGGAGATAGGCCAAGGCCACAGAGGAAATGCCATCTTTTGAGAGCATCTCAGGGACTTGATTTCCACACGAGGTGGGCTGACTACAGTCAGGAAAGCGAAAGAGTAAACAGGCTTTACAGAAAAGTGGGGGTATGGGCCAGGCCACATTCTCAGATTGGGGTGCCCACTGCCAGGCTCAAGGTAGTGTTTGGACACTAAAAGTTTTTGGTTAAAGTGTGTATGTTTGTGAGTGATGTCTGCTAATGTTGCCTCTTCACTCCCATCCTTCTGCAGCTGGGCAGTGAAGAGAAAGTTCTAGAAAACTGCCTGAGCCTGGGTGGCCACCGTGCCCCTGTGGTCACCGTGGACTGGAGTACCGCCATGGACTGTGGAACGTGCCTGACAGCCTCCATGGACGGCAAGATCAAGCTCACTACCCTCCTAGCCCATAAGCTCTGATGGCCAGCCTGGAGTGACACGCTGGAAACAGAATTGTCTCTGGCAGAAGAGAGAGATGAGACGGCACAGGACAGTGCTCTGATTCTGCACTGCCGGGCTGTGGATCTTCAGGAGAGACCGCCAAGGGGGCTCAGTCATCCAGACACAGCTCTTGGAGCAGGAGATGTGGAGCGGGCTGTGTGTACTTCCTAGAGACTAGGACCGTGGCTGTAGCGGAGCGAGCCCAGAGCACAGGACAGATGCTGAGGAAGGAGCCCCAGTGGCGCACCAGTGTTTGGTCCAAGTGGCATTGACCATATTTTGTACATAATTGCTTATTTTTCTTTTTTAAGGGAAAAAAAATCAGGGCGAGATAATGCTCTTACAGTCACTTGGTGTGTCTTTCTGGAAAGTCATCTGGCCCTAGTGATGGTCACAGCTCCCTGCCTTGGTTATGTACTTCAGCTCTCACTAGCCTCGGCCAGCAAGTTTCTGCAGAACCTGGTTAGAGTTGAGGTGTAGACCACAGTGCCCTCTTCTGGGCTCAAGCCAGGGTCTGAGTATCTTCTGCAGAACATGAAAGCTGTAGACTTTGGTTAAGAGGCTTCTCAGGATAAGAGACCTGAGATCTGGACCCCCAGCTCCTGTGCCTCAGGGTCTTCTGGTGCCAGAACTCTCATTTGGTGGCTCCCTCGTTCTTCCAGTGTGAAGTCTCTGAGCTTGAATAGTACCAGCTGCCTGCACCTCTGCCTGGCTCAGCTGGGTCAGCTTCATCTGGACTCCTGTCACAGCCTGGGCTCCGGTCTGTCACTTGGGAAGACCACAAGTCCCATCCCTAGTCAATCCTACATCCTACTGCTGAGACAGCCTCATGAAAGAGCCATTATAGGGTCAGTGGGCCTGGGCCCAGGCCTCCCACATTTGCCATGGGAGACCTTGTTACCTGCCTAGGGCATGCCACTTCCATGAACAGTGACTGTTTGGAATAGCCATTTGATAGCTTCGTTGGGCTCCAGGCTAGTTGCAGGCTGTGGGGCTGGTAACTTGTGGTAACCCCCAGGTGCCTACAGAGGGAAAAGTAGGAGTGTTAAGGCCTGGGCTCCCTTCTGGGATCAAAGGAAAAGTAGAAAGTGATATATAGGAAAAACCTATATATCATAGTTACTATTTATTATTGGTGTACATGTGTATGTTGGGTGGGCAGGGGGTGGGGTGGGATATTTGACAGCAGCGGTCACAAGACAACTTGGTGTAGACTCAGTTCTCTCTGTTCATCTTTATGTGTATTTGGGGGATCCAACTCGGGGGCCCAGGCGGCATGGCAAGTGGCTTTACCTGCTGTGCCGTCTCATGCTCACACATTTTTACCCATGTCCACACTGACATGAAGGGGTCACTCCTTTCCCTGCCATTTCTCCACTCCGGCTGACACGCAGCCTCCACGTCTGACTCACCCAACTTCGTGGTCCTGGGTTCCATCTGAGTCAAGACCCGTGGTTAAAATTTTCCTCTAGTTTTTCTCTCATGGTATGTTCTTTCTTCCCAGTGTATTCCCCACAGCTTGCTGAATTAGTGGTTTTAAGGCTCAGAGACAGAACACTCCAGAGCCTGTTCCTACCCAACTCCTCCCAGGAAGAACAAATCCTTCAAGGCACCTGTTTGGAACCCTTGTGGGCCTTAGTAGGGCGCCCTCCTTTGCTGTCCCTGAGTGAAGTGGCATGGAGCACAACCATGAAGACAGGCCACACTGCAAACCTTGAGCCACTCTTCCAGGGGATGAGAACCTTGCCTGGCAGGTACAAATCTGAATTTCCCTCCCTGTGCTCAGGACCCTATCTCTGCTCGGGCCCCAAATCCATGCCCAGGAGCTCGGCATGAGGTCTGGATATACAGTAATGGATACATTGCAGGCTGACCAAATGAAGCTGACTGACATTTGTTACTATATCCAATAAATTTATCTGCCAATTTAAAAATAATAAAACCCATGTGGACTCCAGCACAGGCAAGTCTTCTGGCTTGGTTCCTCACTCCTGCTGGGGTCTTTGCGGGGAAACAGGCTCCATGTGCAGCCTTACAGGTTTCTTATCTTAAGCCTTATTTGCTGGGTGGCCATGGAGAAGTTTTAAGAAAATGTGCAGAGTTGGGGGAGTTATTAAGAACCACAGAAAATAAAAGGATGGAAGGATGCTCTCTCATCCAGCGTTAGACTTGCTTGGCTCACATCAGGTGAGGTTGAGGACCCTACTTACAGTCCATGAATGTTACTTTCTTGATAGCCAAGGGCTGCCCTCCCAGAAAGGTTGCTGCTTGGCCTGGTTCAAGAGCAGCTAAAATGACCCTGGGGTCATTTGTGGGATTGGAAGCCATTGGTTTATCCCATTAAGAGTTGGAACCTTACGTTTCCTGGTCCAGGCTATCTATCAGTTTAGATTGAGGATTAGCATTCAGGAAGAGCCAGGGAAAGGCTGCGGAGAAAACATGCCCAACAGGGGAGCTGCGGGTGTCCCAGTCCAGAGTGCAGTTCTGGCACTGCTGACCAGCTGCTGTAAATCAGTCACTCTTGATTTCTCCGTTTGAGGGCAGACAGGATCAGATCTGGGGTTCCCTTTGCTCCAGTGTGCCAGAGAAGAAACTCCCCTGTGAGGGCCCACTCCTATGTTTTTAGTCGTTGTCTCCCCTGGCTTCTTTCCCAATCACCCCAGGCTGTGTTAAATCATGAGTGAGTTTAGCTGAAAGACTCCGGACACCTGGGCAGCTTGGTGGCACCTCCTCCATTTCTGCAGAGGGGACCTTGGTTGGCGGTAAATGGGAGTTTGATTTCTCTCCCTGAACTGCCAGGCACCTCGTCTCGTGGGTAGTGTTAAATCTGGTTTCCTGGGAGATCCCCTGGCAGGATTGTCAAAACCAGAACCCCTTTGCTTCCCCTAGTTACTGACTCTGGCCGCTTTCTAAGTCAACAGCTGCCCCTCAGTCATAACAGCGGACAGAAACCGAGACCGGCGGATGTGACCCGTGGTCTGTAGGGGGCGCCCGGTGCCCTCGGGGCCAGCCAGCGGCCGGGTCGGGAGCGCGCGCGCCGGGACGCGCCGGGAGCGTGCGGGCGATGGGAACGCGCAGGAGCCGGAAGGGGCGGGCGGTGGGGCGCGTGTGCGCGCCGCAGTCCTGAAACCCCGGAATCCACCAAAAAGACCTCAGCGCCGCCCTCTCCTCTTGCTCACCGTCCCATTCTGTCCCCAGGCAGCGGTTCTGCTCCCTCTGCGGTAGGGAGGGAGTGCGCGGTCAGCTCCGCGCTAGTGCAGCGAGGTCCCGCGTGTGCCTTCTGGGTGAGATTTTCCAGGACCCAACGGGCCCGACTCCATCAGCGCTGAGCTCCAGAAACCTTACGGTGGGCAGGACCTGGCTGCCGGCTCGATGGTTGATGTTCAGCTTTCTGCCACTTTGTGCACGCTAACTCTTAACTGCGTCTGTTTCCTGTCTATAAAATGGACGTGATGATACACGTACTGCCGGGTCTGATTCATTTCTGTTCACTGGCATTCACGGGATGATATTCTTCTTATCGACTTCTGTTCTGTGGCCGGACAGGTTAGGATGATGCCATGCTAGTTCTCTTGTTTGTTTTAAATGAAGTTATAAACAGCCATTCTGGTGAGCTCAAATGATCTAGTGGTGTATGTTGAGGGTAGGGGAAGCCCTGGCTAATAAAATCTACGAATTAGAAGGCCTGGGGGTTTTAGTAATTCTTGTTTTGTAAAATGTGGTATGGTGTGGGAGGGGGTGCCTTAGCGGGCCCATGCTGAGCACCCCTCAATACCCCCACCCCCGTATCAGCCATACTACGGGTCTAGTATAAAAAGAAGTTTATTTGGGGCTTGAGAAGGGAGTAGAGGCAGAGAAAGAGAGGGGGCAGAGGAGGAGGGGGGGACACGTGGAGAGAGAAGGGGGTGGGAGGAAGGAAGGGAGAGAGGCGGGCAGGGGCGGGGTCAGAGAGAGAGAAAGGGTCAGAGATCTTGAGAGAGGTCAAACAGTCCTTTCGTAGCAAGCCAGGCTCATACCTGGCTGTTGCTAGGTAGTCGAGCGGAGTCTAGAAGGAGTGTTAACATGTTAACAGTAAAATCACTGCAGAGGTGAGAAGTTTGTTGTCCAAAGTGACAGAGATCATCATGGATCATTGGGATGCAGAGGAAAGGGAGACCAGAGTCCCCTTTTTTCCTTTCCTTTGGGATGCAGAAGTGACAGGAAACCCTTTCTTGTTGCTCCAACTACCTGTGTAGGGCACAGAGCAGTGGAGGGGACCACAGAAATTTGTCTGCAGGCTTCGTTGTCCTATCTGCTGCTAGTTCTTCATTTGACTCAGTACACATGGCTTGGCCTTCTGGGCTCTGGTCACCCCTGGGTCATCTCAGGCCTGTCCCACACTGACCAGTAATTATTGCTGGTAATTGAAAGAGCGTTGACTTATTAGAATTTACTGACTCAGTTCCTCCTTGTAGGCATTCAAAATCGGCACCCACTGGGATCAAATAAGCCTGGTGTGACGAGACAGTGTGATTTTTGGTCCTGCTCTAGAGAAGCAAGTTACTGAATGTGGAAAAACACTAGCCATGGAAACCCTAAAATCTGAGAACAAAAAGAGGGTCCTCCCCTCGTGGATGACAGACCCTGTGAATGAGAGAAAGGTTATATCAGTGAAGACAACCAAGAGGAAGCAGACAGCGGCCGTGCGAGTTGGGGCAGCAACAAGGTGGGACAGCCTGAGTTCAGGGGGCTTCTCAGTAGCTCTCCTGGCCTGTCAGAGTGGGCAGGGCAATGAGGTGGGTCCTTCCAGCAGTGCCTTGAGGTCTCAGCTTGCCCCTCCCAGAGAAGCACCAGGTAAGTGCTCGTTGGTGAGCTCTGTGCTGGTGAGGTCCTGCCATCTTGTTGTTGGTGCAGGCAGAGAGCCCTGCATACAAACCACGCACACACCCAGGAGCCAGTTCTTCAAAGCGGTTATCTCTTCTTCATTTGTGACAAAAGCAAGATCAATGGATCTGAAATCTAGTCACCTGAGTGGTACCTGTCTTTTCTGTGCACAGAGCTTTTCAGACAGTCAGTAAAGCAATCTGAAGTTGTGTCTCTGAGTGAGGTGAATGCTGGTAGTTAGGGTGGGAGAGTTTGTCAAATGAGAGGGAGGGCGCTGCCATTCTCTTAGAAACGGCAGTGCTGCACTCAAAAGCTGGCTTTTTCCTGTACCCTTGGCAGTTGTCACAGCCCTTGTCTAAACATATCCTCACATTCAGGTACAAATTGGACTCTGTCCTGATGGCCTGTATTTGCTATGTCCACTGTTTGCTTTTGAGACAGGGTCTCTCTCTGGAGCCTTGGCTGGCCTGGAACTTACTATTTAGGTCAGACTGGCCTGGAACTCATAGAGATTCACCTGCCTCTGCCTCCCCAGTGCTGGGATTACTGTATGCCACCACACCGGGCCGTCCACTGTGTGTTTCAAGGAGTAACGGTGGGAAGCCAGCCACCAACCCTATTCCCGGTTCCTTGTGAGAGAGTTCCCAGAGGGTGGGTAGCCCTGTGCCCTGTCCCTGGGCCACTAGGATGAGGAAACTTCAGTTCAGAGAACAGTAACTCCCCCATGCCATTGGGGGGAGGGTACTTCAATTTCCTTCCTCCTGTGAGTCCCTCTGGCCTCAGCTGTGGTTTTTACACCTCTATTTCAGAGCCTCTGCCACGGAGACTGTGTACTGCATGAATGAAGCTGAAATGGTAGACGTGGCACTGGGAATCCTGATTGAGGTAACATCAGTCTTGTCTCTTCTGACTCCTATGGCTGGCGATTACCCATGGGTAGGAACTAGCATAGGTCCTTGCTCCTGGTAAGAGAGGTGCTCCCAGGCTGCCTCAGGTCCCACTGCATCCTCTTCTCAGCCAGGTTTTCCTCAGTCACTGTGTGTGGTGTGTATCATGTGGGGCGAGCCTCCAGACTAGCTGCACGGGCGGGGCGTGGGTGTGAGGGAGAGCAGGCCCCTGTGGGTAACTGCGCTGATGTGTATGTGAAAGGGCACAGTGTTCACTTGTATTCTTGGGAAGGCTACCAGTTGGCTAAGAGGACTCCTTCCTAGTGTGTCTTTCTTTAGCAGAAGGCTATGGACGTTTCCTGACTTCCTGAAGGAGTTAGAGCGGCCCTGCTGAGACGTTGCAGAGTTCTCGTGTTTTCTGTGTGCTTTAAAGCAGTGTATCATCTTCCCAGTGCCCGTGGCAGTCCAGACTGCACTGATCTGGGTTACTGTTGTCCCCAGGAAATCAAGGCTCTGTGGCCGGCTTTAGACCCGCAGCAGATTCTGTGGCCTGGGCCCCTGGTCTCATGCCTTGTCTTCCCAGCCATGTTTTTCAGTCGGATCCCTTCTCTTTCTACTCCTCTATTGATCATACATAGACCCCTGCATCTGTCCCTAGTGGGTCCTGAGGTGTGGGGTGACAAAAGGGTGGGTGCCCGTGGGGTGGGAGCATGTCCCTGCCTGCTCAAGTGCTGTGCTGGCTTTTCGGTTGGCACAGAGTACATCCACAGCACTGTGTCAGGGAAACAAGCTGCTTGTGCCGAGAGACTGCCATTTTCTTCTGCTCTGCAGGGCCGAAAACAGGAGAAGCCCTGGGAACAGCTGTCTCTGGAGGTCCCTGATAAGCTGCAGCTCTCCCCTCCCTGTTCCCCTCACACCAGCTCCCCGGAGAACAGCAGTGAGGAAGAAGACAGCAGGAACAACTCGCCTGCTCTAGGCCTCAGCCCTCCCCAGGGCCCGGAAGCTGCTGACTCTCTCTGTAGCAGAAGCCCCGAGGAGGAAAAGGAGGAGGAAGATGAGTTAAAGTACGTCAGGGAGATATTCTTCAGTTAGTGTGAACTGTTCACTGCTTCTGCCGAGAGCTGTAGGATCCGCTGAGAGCTGCGGGCTCTGCCTGCCCCTGCCACCCACAAAAACCAGGCCTTGTTCCCAACTCCCAGTCCCAGGAGGCTGTCAGTTTGGGTGGGACTTTTTCTGTAGCAGGATGCAGAAATGCATCCTGTTACAGTCTTATCCTGCACCGCCCTCTGGCTCTGAGGGTTTGCAATCCTAGCCCTGTGTCTTATTCACAGTAAAAATTAGGTCTTAGGCTTACTTGCCAGAAGTAAAGAAAAATAGAGCTGCTGAGAACCCTGGAATTCTAGACGGGTGGCTAGATCTTGACTTAAAGAGACTTGTGAACAGCCTCCCTCGTGACACAGTCCAGTAGTTAGCTTCCACCCTTCAAACCAGACAGGCTGGCAGCTGCCCACAGTTTCCTGCCAGTCCAGTAGCAGGAGGCTATCAGGCTGGTGAGCCACACTGGCCCTGTCTACCACCGACTACCTGTCTTCCACCTGGGGCCTCCACCTTGGTCCCTGTACATCTGTAAGGGAGAGTGGGACACGAGACGCTGAGGACAAAAGATGACACCAGAGTCCACCTTTCTTTGTGTTCACTTTGGCTTTTGATGAGCACAGAATGAAGAACTCATTGCCATGTAGGTTTTCTGATACACAGACACTGAAAAAATATATACTGATGCCCCAGTGCATAATAAAGACCAAGCTTCTGCCTCTCCAGTTCTGGGTAAGGTGATGGAATGTGTTGTGTGTTTGTGGTGACTATTCGATCCTGTTCATCTTCCAGAATTTGGCACATTTTTTGTTTACATCCCTGGGTCACAAAAATGGTTTAACAGCTGATTCCTATTTGCTGTCAGGTCCAGGGATCCATTCAGGGGATCCTGAATAGCCAGCGAGGCTTCTCTTTGTGCTGACAAGACAGTGGTGTTAAAGCAGTTTTTTTTTTTTTCCCTAACCGTCTCATTTGTTGCCATAACCATTACAGAGTTCTAGTTTGACACTTTGCCAAGATAGCTTGGAAATTTGGCCTCTGACAGACTCCCACCTGCCTGGGGCTATTGTGAATATTGGTTGATTAATGCAGGGATCCCTGTGCTAATGAGCTACACAGTACCCTAAGAAACCGCAGGTACCCCAGCCCTCCAAGCCGCCTCTGGGTTCCTTGACCCCACAGCCCTTCTGCTCAGTAGGTGGTTCCATCTGCTGAGCTTGAGATCAACATTAGCTATGACACAAGATGGGTGAAAGGACCCACCCAGCCACAGGTTCTCTGGCACCTTCTTGGAGCACAGTTAGAACTGAACCCTTGCAATCCCATAAGCTTTTGTAAGACTGGACTAACAGTTCTCCCACTGGTTCTTGTCCTTCTTATCCCGTGGCGGGAACATAACTGTGGCCACAAGCAAGATGATGAGTAAGGCCTGGGCTAGGCACAGAGCTAGAAAGCCAGGCCCCAGGAAGGAGAGCCTGAGCCACTTCCACACGAAGGAGAGGAAGAGGCTTAGTCCGCCCGCCAACAGAACAGAGGATGCTGCCAGGAAGCCCACGGCTAGATGCCACTCTCCCTTATCTCTGTTGTACTGGGCAAGGAGGAGAGGCAGAGGGACGAAGACTGTGAAGACCAGGGCTCCATACACACCAAGCCTGGCCAGGGCTAGGCCAACCTGAGGAACCCCCAGCACCTCCAGCTCAGGAAAGTTGTAACACTCTAGGGATCCAGTGTCCTCCTTCCACAGACAGAAGTTGTAGAAGCCGATTCTCAGGTTAGGTAGGTCAGCGAGGTTGCCAGCCTTCCAGAGGAGAGCGTAGAACATCAGGGACAAGGCCATGGCCACAAGGATCATGATGCCCACGAAGGGCAGGCAGTTGTTCCGCCACAGCCTGGAGACAGTCATCTCTTCTGCTGTTGCAGAGGGGCCTGGAAAAGTTCACACCAGTGAGTGTCCAGTCCTTTCCTTGTGTTTATAAGCTCCTAATTCCTTCTGCCCTCATGTAGACAGGAGGTCCCAAGTCACAGCCAGGTCCCACTCACAGTGGCCCACTGGTTTGAGGTTAGAAGGAACTGGGCATCTGTGGAAACCTGAAGTGTCATCTGTGAAAACCTGAAGTGTCCTGAGCCACAAGGCACAAAGGGCTTTATTGCCGCATAGATACCACAAGCCGTTGGCAGCTGAGAGTGTTTCAGATCCTCACAGAGGTAGGTTTGGAGGTGTGAGGATGAAGGGCAAGCCTCACTGTTAGTTGGGGCTGCAGCTTGAGGTACATGTTCGAGACTTGGCCGAGCCTATGTTCAGTTGCTGCTGACAACTACTTAGGGAACTGAAAAACTACCCAGCGAGGCTACAAGTCAGATTAGTGTCTGTGCTCGGGGTGTCAGCAAAGCTCTATGGCTCGGTTGGTTGGATGTGAGCCTGGTTGGAGGATCAGTGGCCTGTGTCTCCTGCCCTATTTAGGGAACCGAACCTCTCCTGGGATGAAATCACACTATTGTACGCTGTTGATTTTAAAACATGTCTGTCTGCCCCCAGGCCCCCCATAACAATAGAAATCTATTATTCTAGGACATTCTGGAAAATTTTTAAAAGAAAAAATTTTACTACTACTGTAGTAAAACCACTGTTCATATTCCACAGATATTTCCCCTATGTGATTGTATTTCTTTAAAGCACAGTGTTAAACAGTGGTTTTCACTGACTGTTGTGGGTATTTTTCAAAGCTGTTGAGATATTCTTCAAAACATGATAAATGGTTACATAATATTTCATTCATAGGCCAGGTGTGGCGCCACCTGCCTTCAATCCCAGTGCTTGGAGGCAGAGGCAAGTGGATCTCAGAGTTTGAGGGGCAGCCTGGTCTACAGAGTGAGATCCAGGGCAGCCAGGGCTATGTAGAGAGATGCTGTCTCAAAAAAAAAAAAAAAGAAAGAAAGAAAGAAAGAAAGAAAGAAAGAAAGAAAAGAAAAGAAAGGCACACACACACACATACACACTCAACTCAGAGCTGTTTGTCTCATCTTAGCGATCTTACTATGTATTGCCAGATGGACCTGCAGATGCAAAGCCCTCTCTTTAAGTGTATATAGAAGAGCCTATTTTACTACACTCTCATTACTTAGAAAAATCTTTTCATTACATTTTTATTCAGAACGGATTTTTCCAATTGCCTCAGAAATAATAGTCTGCACACTGCCTTTTTCTACGTGCATTTCGCACCGAGGAATAAAACAAGCAAGACAAACACTGGGGGTGACCAGGAATAAAGAGCTGGGAGCCTTGTGAGACACAAACACCCAGGCCCACACAGTCCCATGGGCCTAACCCACAGAGCTAGGTTTACCCCAGCATTGGTGGCTCTGGGGAAGGACCCGCAGACCTGTGGATCTCAGGGGACTCCTTGGGAACAGCTCCTCTCACAAGGTACAGTGGGATTTCTGTGTCTCTGTTTTATAGGAACCAACAGGAATGAAGACAGAAAGAATGCTTGCCTTGAGGAGCTGGGCCAGGGGAGTGGGAGGGAGGAGCTTCTTTTTCTAGTACGGTGCAATAGGGATTCATTGGTTGGTTATAGCAGCTGCCTGGCAGTAGACAGGTAGGGTTAGAACATTGAGGTCTGAATCTACTCTGGCTCTACCCAGCATGGAGCAGTTCCTGGCTGTCATTGTGGGTTCCCCCCAGTGGAGCCCAGCAGGGACCAGTATCTTGGGGAAGCAGCTGTTGTCAGAGGCCTTGTTTGAATGTACTAGGAATTCTTGAAGCAGCAGTGCTTGCTCCAGAAGGATTTGCCAAGACTGTAAAAGGCAGCTATTGCCCTATGTCACTATGTTCCAAGGATGAAATACTTAATCCATGCAGCCATGGTATGAAAAATTCCCAAAATATTTTAAATGGTTTTAGTCATTTAGAAAAATGTTTGTCAAGTCTGTATGTGTGTTTTTAGAGGGGTTAGGTGTTTAGGATGTAGTGTGGGTCTAACCTGTGCACAGCCGGCACTGCCCCAAGAAACAACCAGGGTACAACCTGGGAGCCTCCTGTTTGGATCGTGTGTGTTTAGGTTACTACTGCCTTTGAAGATGGGTCAGACAGCAAAGTTGGCTTCTCAGAGGAGGCCGTGGTCACCTCAGCACAACTCCCCTTGTTTGTGCCTTCATTTTCTCCCAACTGATCTTTTGGGGGCTTTGGTGGGTTATTGTTTTGTTTTGCCCTGTTTTGAAATAAGAGTCTCTCTATGTAGCCCAAGTTGGCTAAAACCCTGAGATCCTCTTGCCCCACCTGACTTCCCAAAAGTTTGCAAGAGAGAGCACAGCAATCAAAAACGGGAGGGGAAGGAGCGCAGGCCCCGGCATGTGGAGAAGGCTTGTCCTGACTTTGCTCTGCTCTGCCTCAAGGCAGAGTTCAGCCCTTGCTCCCGTGCCTGGCACTTGAGGCTCTCTGGCACCTGCTCTATCCTAGAACTTGAGTTTTACTGGGGCTCAGGTCTCTTTGTCCTCTCCATTTGCTTTCCTGTGATCAAGCTTTTCTGCCCAGGCTGTGCCCACGCTCAGCCTCTCTCTAGCTCCTTTGGGCAGACCAGAAGCCAGAATGGATTCAAGAATGCAGTGTTCCCAAGGGACAGTTTTCATCTCTTTCACCCTGAGGATGAACGTTTTTGGAATTTTTGGGAATGAATGGATGCAAATGCCCTCTGGTATCCTTAGGCATACCCGTGTGTGGCAGAGCATCCTGAGGGGCCCTGTGTATGACTTTCGTTTTACCACCAGTGTTGGGACGGACGTCCGTTCGGCTTCATACTGGAAACGCAGAGTTCCAAGGCTGGTGACTAGCCCTCCTTCCTCCACTCCCTTGCCACAGTGCCTGTGCACTTGGTTGAAAACCCGATGACACTCTTCTAGCTGTCTCCGCAGACTGACCCGGCCTGGTTTCTTCTAACTGCCCTGGCACTCAAATCGTCAGCACAAAGGACCCTAGTTTCCTGTAATGATAAGCCCACACTTCCTACAAAGAGCCAGAGGCTCTGCAGACTGCTGAGTCACGGTGGCCACTTTTAGATGAACTTCCTCCTGTTTGTAATAAAGCAATGCAGGCTGGTTTCAGAAAACTATCAAAACATGTCAAAGTGAGAAAGATTGAAAATCATCCGTGACTGCTGCTCAGAGTGACCAGTGAGCACATCTCCTCGCAGGCTCTGCGCTTAGGATGGCGTCCCTGCATCCCTCTCCTGTTATTATAGCATGCATGTTTACGTCCTGCAATTGTTCCCTGTTGCTTTTAAGGGCTTCCTGGAGCTGTAAAAGCTAATAGGTTTTTTTTTTTTGGTAAGCTATTCTTTATATTCCATAATCTTATGAATAATGCTATGCGAAATGTTTGTGAATACATTTATCCTTCTAGAAGCTTAGCTTAAAATAATTAACTTTTTAAATGTTTTATTTGTGTGTGTGCTCATAGCGCAGGCGTGGAGGTCAGAGGACCACTGGCAGGGGTCAGTTCTCTCCTTCCACAGCGTGGGTTCAGGGAACGGAACTCAGGTCTCCAACCTGGCAACTGTCTCCTCACTCACTGAGCCATCTCCAGGCTTGAGCTTAACTTGTAAATTCCACTTTAGTGATGAGGTCACTACACTGCCCAGGCTGGTCTTGAGCTCTGGTAAGCAAGCCTCCTGAATAGCTAGGGTGTGGGCATGTGCTGCCTGCTGGCAAATGTCTGTCTGACCTCATCCTCTGAGGTGTCGCATATTCTTGAATCACCTAATCTTGGATATCCAGGAGCCGCTGCTACCCAATGCTCCCTTCAGAGACAGTAAGGTTCGGCCTTTTCAATTGTTTACTGACTATTTGTATCTCTTCGGTGGAGTTCTTTTGCTTTTTAAAAATGACGTTTTGGATGCGTGCAAGGCCCTGGGTTTGAGCCCAGTGCTGCTGAAAAGAAACCATCCTGAGTTTTAGTTTTGCTGTCCTGTGAGTGCTCTGGTGGGCAGAGGCCCCCAGGCTTGTCACTGTGCCACAGTAAGGCAGAATCCCCCTGCCGCACTAGTCCCCAGCCTGACTCCTGAGCTGAGCTTCCAGTTCATGTGGGTTTGAGAGCAGGACCCATGTGAGAATGACCTGAGGAATCGGTGATTGAAATCTGCTTGATTTCCGGGCTGTGGAAATAGGAAGGCTCGTCTTGAGGTGGAGGTTTGCTCGCTTGTTTGTTTAAGCATCTCTAGAATCATCCTAGAGGAGAATGGGCTAGTGACCCAAAGGAGCATGACCAGGAAATCATTTCACTCTGAATTATAATTATGATCTTGTCAGGATCATTTTTAAAGTGAAACGGAGAGAGATCTCCGATCCCTGAGGGCTGTCTGAACAGCCCTGGGGGTTGGTAACAGGGTCTCTCCAGCCCCAGAAGCTGCACGATGAGGTGCAGCCATGAGAGGCTAGTGAAGAAAAGAACTTCTACACAGTTCAGCTCTGTGTTTGCAGCTCTAAGACAGCTGCCTTCCCCTCGAGGAACGCTGGAGAAGCACGGGAAGGCGGGGGTGGAGGGTGGGGGGTGGGGGGTGGGAGATGGGGGTGGGAGGTGGGAGGTGGGTGTACTGTTGCTTTTGACACTTGCTCCAAGTTAAAGATTCCCAGTGAAATTGCAGAAGGCTCACAGTGCCTGATGCTCCCCGCCTCAGGGAAGGTTTGTATCACCAAGCTCCGTTCCTAGCTTAACACACCCGGGCATTGTCTCCTTCATCGCAAAACCACAGATTATCTAAACATCAAGGGCTCCCCTGAGCACACACTTATTTATAATTTGTAGTCCGTCACTGCCCTCATCACGCTTCAGCTAGCGGGTTCTCATCCTGGTATTTGAGAACCCGTGAGCTCCCCTTTCTCTTTGTCTTACAGGGAAACAAACAACCGGCAGTGGCTGGTTGTTTCACAGGTCCTTTCCCCGAGTACTCGTGGGATGCAGGCCTAGATCTCGGAGAGCAGGGCTCACTAGCTCCCCTGACAGACACACCAGCCTGCCACCTGAATACTTGTGTCTCTAAAGAGACCCTCATGAACTTTGTCTTCTCTATCTAGGCTATCCTCACAGAACAACCCTATGCTTTGTTGTTTTTGGTTTGGTTTGTTTCTACACTATGCAGAGAGGATTGAAGTTCCTCCACAGAGTGTCCCCACAGTCAGCGTTCCCTCTCCAGAAACATGCTAACTAGATGGTTAACATTTGATTCCTTGGTGGACAAGCAGTGTGGTATCCTCTGACTTGAAGGTGTTCGAGGGCCTTGAGCAAGTTCCCAAGTAGGGTGAAGGACGGCTGCTACTCGGGAGTGCTTGTCTCTTGGGCACACATTAAAAATGCTCCCGCCTTCTTTTTGTTTCTTTAGCATAAGACCCCTCCAAGTGTCACTACGTACCCTACCTCAGACTTCTGGTCCTTTGCTATCCCCTCCTCAGTCACCACAGTGGCCTCCCTGGTATTTTCTGGAAACCTAAGACAAGCTCAGGACACTTGCCATTGAAACTCCTCCCCCCACCCCACCTTTCAGGTCTTTCCTCAAACGTATGCCTGTGATTAGGCGCACCTTCCTTGCTTAGCACTGTACAAACTCAACCCCCTCTTCTTCCGTGAGCCCCGCCTGGCATCCCGTGCATGCTCACCCGCACGTCTGACTGTCTGACAGAAGACACCCCGCTTGCCCCTTCCTCCAGCAGGATGAAACTCCAGGGGAACAACGGCTTCTGTCTGTTGTTGAGTTTGCTTTGCTTTGCTTTGCTTTGTAGATATTTAAGTGTGGAGGCCTTGGGTGTGTCATTCTTTCCTTAGGAATGTCATCTACCTTATTTTTTGAGACAGGGTCTTTTATTGGTCCAGAGATCACCCATTAGGCGAGGCTGGCTGGCCAGTGAGCCCAGGGCTCCATCTGTCTCTGCCCCTCAAGTGCAGGGATGACAAGCGCAGGCCGTCATCCTCAGCTTTCTATGTGGATGCTGAGTCTCACACTCAGGTCATCACACCTGCATGGCAAACACTAAACTGTCATCTCCTAACTTATGTTCAGTTTTACATCTGTCTGTCTGTCTGTGCATGTATGCATGTATGTATGCATGTATGCATGCATGTATCTATCTATCTATCTATCTATCTATCTATCATCTATCTACATTTTTTCTGTTCTGTCCTAAACATCCAAGGCTGCTCCTGGCTTCTAGAATGCACTCAGCAAACATTCCCTGGATGACAGGCATGGCTGACTGGCTGTCAGTGGCAGCACACATAACAGCATATGTGACTTCTCATAAGTTCCTTCTTCTTTCATTGTCTTCACTTGCTCCCCTGTCCTCTGGTTCAGTTAAAAAATTCTTCCCACAACATCTGGATTCAAGGCCCTCTGCTATCACTACTTTCCGGTTCTACACGGGACTTTGGGAGGTTGAGTAAGTATTCCCGTGAATGAACCAGTACTGGGCACATGCTAAGTGCACATGTGAGCTGTGATCCTGATGTGATTTAGGGGAAGAAGAGTGAGGTGGAGGCTGAGGGTGGGGTGTGTGCAGTGAGCGAAGGCAGAACAATAGACTGACAGGCTGCAGAGGAGAGCAATGTTGTCCATTTCCTTGTCAGAGAGGCCACTGGCCTCATCTAACCGTGTTTAAGATTAGTGTCTGTGGTGTAGGTGCGGCTCTCACAGAAGAGAAAGGAAGGAGAATGGGAAATGTGTCGTGCTTCCTCTGGCAGAAATACGAGCCCATGTCCTAGTTTCTCAAGACTGGGCTAGGGCAGTGCTGTTGCCTGGGTGCGGTTAGTGGTGTAGGTGGCCTCTATGGAATGCTGTAATGTTTACTTTCACGATCAGTCTGCTGTGTAAATAAAAACAGCTTGAGCAGCAGAGATAGGACTGTACCAGGGCACTGTGACAGAAAGCCAGAAGCATGGCCTAGGCTAAGACGTGGACAGCAAACCGTTGAAGTAACTGTTTAAACGGCTCCTTTAATATTAACTTTGTATTTGTTCCACAGTTTTGCTGCTTATTGGCATTGGGTAACAGATAACCCAGCAGGGAACAAAGGTTACAGAAACTTTGGAGACAAAACAGCACCCTAAAAGAGGAGTACCGTCTGCATCTCTGTGTATGGCAGGTCTCCCAGCATGCTTAAAGGCAGCTGATTTGCTCTTCCCTGCAATTCTGAGGAGATGTACCATCCCCTTCCTAGGCTAGGATTTCATCTCCTGACCCCACTAATGATGCATTTGGGAGGTCCCTGAGCCAGGGGCCCTGGAGAATCAAAGACACATGAGACAAACAAGATGCTTCCCCCACCCCAAATAAGCTTGTGCTCTATTTGGAAGACATATACTACTTAGAGTTTTAAGGAGATAATTTTGAAAAGATTTGGGGAGGAACTAAACAGGGCAAAGTGAGGGGGAGAGACAGCAGCAGGAATATGTAAATGGCTCTATATTACAGGGCTGGGGAAGAGCCCTACTCACAAGAGATGTTAGGTTTAAGGCCCAATTTCCATTAACTCGCTAATGCTAAAGGGGCTGTTTAGTAACAAGCCAAAAAGAAAAGAAAAATAAGAAAACAAAAAGCTCCAAACTATTTTAGAACATCATCTCATGCCATATGCCAAAATAAATTTCACATGGATTTGAGAGTGAACCAGTGTAAAATAAAATCTAGAAAAAAAAAAAACTCTGATTTATGAATGAGGAAGTACATTCTGAACTTAAAAGTACATCAAAATGACAAGGAAAACTACAGATTTAGCTATTTTTTTAAAAAAAATGGAGATTTCTGTGCACCAGTAAAAACAATACAGAATCAAAAGTCAATGAGCATGGAAGATATCTGCACTAAGTGTGAGGTGATTAACACACATAACGTATAGAACATTCATGCAAACGTTAAGTAAGAAAAGCACTGCACTGGATGAGATAATACAAACAATTCACAAAAGAATGAAGCTAACTTAAAACAAATCTGTGTTTTTCCAATGGCTCCAAAGCATGCTGGGTAACATGTGCTTTTCTTTCTAAAAACTAAAGACAGCATCCTCGGTGACACTCCAGATGCCAAGACTGGCTTCCTAACACAGTGACTCTGACTCTAAGGTTTGTATATATTTTTTGGCCTAATGACCCACTTTTATCACCTTATCTCCAAGGCAGTATCAGGGATGTAACCCCTAATCTCTACAAAGGATGGAGTATCACAGTATCAGGCATAACGCAGGTCAGTTATTGTACATCAGGATGATGAAACAGCTTTTAGGACAGCCAATTCAAAAGCACATGGGTGGGGAAGGCACCCATAGAAAGATGCACAGGAGAGAGAGGCCTGATTGAACTGAAGCCCTAATGCCAGCTAGCTACGGTGTTTCTGGGTGAAGGCCACATTAAAATATTCCCAGAATTAGGTGCTGTTTGTGAAAGGTGAGATTGTAAGACAAACCACCGTAGCCTTTAGTAATTCGATAATGTGGGGAGTAAAATAGCAGTTTAGAAAATGGGATGCGTGAAGCCATCTTCCAGGCGCTGAATCTCAGACGCTGAATCTCAGACGTGTGTGATTAGGAAGACCAGGAGAAGAGGAAAAATACTGAAAACACACTTCAGTTGTCTCAAGGAAGAAAAGAAAGATTTCCTCCCGTTTTTTTCTTTTCTCACCTTATTCAACAACTTGATTTTACAGATTAAAGAAGTGTAATGGAAGTTATTAATCAGTCCAAATTAAAAAAAAAAGAAAAAAAGAAAAAAGCTGTTTCAAGAAATAATCCCCCCTCCATGAGTTTGCTTTGGGGGTTGACATCAAGTCTTAAAATATTTTTATGTCCTATAATTCTCTTTTGGCCAAGAACACAGATTTTTCCTTCATGTTTTCCAAGTTTTGGTATCAGTTTGGCTGTGGTGACATGTTTTGTTTGTCTGCCTACTTTTGGAGAACAATGTGTCCCAAAGCCACAGGTATTTACCGGTACAAGCTTCGCGAAGACTGGGCTGCATGTAGCTAGCCAGTGCGTTTCTAACCATTTACAGTGCCACCTTCATCGTGTTTTTGAGGCAGAGATACACAGAGTGATGCTTAAGAGCTTGGGGGCAGGACAGAGGTAAAAGGGTATGTCGATCCCTGGGGAGAGAGGAACCACAGACACCAAGCGAAGCGTTCCCCCTTATTATGTTGCTAGAATTTGAAGTCCGGGAGCTGTAAACACCTCTTCTCCCTTGCTGTGGGGTGTACTTACAAAAACCAACGCCAGAGCCCAGGAACACTCATCAAAAGGTGACACAGGAAATCAGCGTCCGGGGAGTCGATCTTCTCTTGAGTTACTTTCTAATGTCAGGCTTCAGAAACCAGGGCAGAGGAGAGAAGCTGCAAGCAGACACAGCTCAGAGCTCCTGAGCTCTGCCGAGCCGCGTTCAAGTAAACAGCTCTCTGAACTTTGGTACATTTGTGCTGACTGATGTCACTATCAGCTGATTTCACTTTCGTTTTTTAACTTGCCTGTGTCTTATGACTTTTCAGAAGTAAAGAGTGTAAACAACTTCTTGTTGCTCACGGGAACACATGACCCACACTGGTGCGCGCACGTACACACCGCCTGAGCAGTGAGCCAGGTGAGGGTCCCGATTTTACTAAGCGAAAATCGATGCCAGCTTCCAGAGCTCCAGGGGGTTGCAACTCTGGAGAAACACGACCTAGAATCTTTCTAGGGAGGGACCTTAGTTCACATGGCCAAGCTTTCAGGCAGTGTAGCTCCTGGCACCTGGGTCCCCTCTACTCATTCCTTTGGAAGACACCTGTGCCATGGACTCTCTATTCAAAAACCACCATCTTGACCGTGTCTCTGGATTGGAAACTTTGCCGTTAGCAAAGTTGTACCTAACAGTTACGCTGCAACAGAAACACTGCAATCCCATTTCAAAGGAAAAGAGAAAGAAAGCTTTTAGTTTTGAAATCGGAGGGAGGGGGGACTCGTGGCCTGAGTTTTACAAACTGTCTCTCTTGCTCACATGATCTCTGGAACACTGGAACGGGGTGAGCTTGGGAAAGACAGTAGACAGCTCCCAGTAATGCTGAACCCTTGGCGGCTTTCTCTTCCTTTCCACATGACACCCTGAACCCAACTGGGGTCTTAGTTCATTCCAGGGATTTCCTTTGCCTCCACGCTGTTAGATTTCTTGTGTCTGGATCCCAGGCTTTCTCTTTCTGCTGTATTCACTTTTGGTAGAATTAATTCCTGGTGATTTTTTGAGAAATGAAGTACCTAAAGAGGGGTGTGTGTGTGTGTGTGTGTGTGTGTGTGTGTGTGTGTAAGTTTGTCAAACTCAAAGTTGGATGGAGTATAGCATTTTTCTTTAAACTTAGTTTTCCTATGCAGTGTGGAGGCCATGTTCCATGCTGTCTTTCCCATTGCTGGGAGGTTCAGAGCTGGTCTCTTTCCCACAGTTGTCCTCTCAGCCTTTTGCCTTTAAAGGAAAGTGCCATTTTAATGAGGTCTTGTGAAGGAAAAATGAAATGGCAGCCGCTTTGCCATTTTCAACTGGAAGCCTTAGTCCCCCTCTCCCCATTTTTTAGGCGCCACTTTTGCCCCTGAACTTCCCCACACCCTACCAAACCAGTTTCCTTGGGGAGAGTTTCAGAGCTCTTTGTTCTTAATGTATGATACACTGAGACCTAGTATCTGAGCTATTTCTGTGGAGCTGCACTTCAGGACACTGTCGCCTCCTCTGAATGATGTGGCTCTTCTTGGAATACTGCTGGCATTCTAGGCAGAGTCTGGTCTCTTCAGCTGTCAATTCATTCCCACGTGCATCTTCTACCTTATGAGGAAGCTGGGCAAAGGTGACTAGCTCCAGTATGTCTAGCCTGCAATGCTGGGAAGAGCCTTTGTACTGAGGCTGGGTGGAGGAGCCTGTAGCTCTAACCTCCTAGCTGGACCTGACCAGAGCACCTTGCCTCTGCAGCTTGGAGAGGGAGTGAAGGGGGAGAGGGAGTCACAGCGGCATGCCCCCTTACTGTTATTATGAGGACTTAGTACCTTTTCTTGAGTGTGTGTATTTTCCTTTGTTCTGCTTATGTATTGTGTGTGAGTGCTCATACCCCACAGTGAGTCTGTGGAAGTCAGAGGACAGCCTGCAGGAGTTGTTTCTCTCTTTCTGCGTGGGTTCCAGGGACTCACTTCGGGTCATGAGGGAAGCACTTCAACACGCTGAGCTTCTCACTGGCCCTGAGATATGCGGCAGAGTTTTAGCAGAGCATGAATTCCAGAATGATGGCACCTAGGCTTTGAAGTCGCCTTTTGTACACAGCCAGTGGTTGTTCTCTGGGGTTGCTCTTCTGAAGGACTCTCAGAGCCTCCTCACAACTCAGACATTCCTGGCAAACAAAGACGTCTCAATTGTCTGAGAATTGATTAGGTAATGGCTTCTTCAGACAGCTCCTAGATCAGATAAGGTGTTGGTATGTGGAAATTGACGAGCTAAAAGTGCCTTCTGTGTAACAATAAAGCGGCTCTGCCAAAAGGAGTTTAGTCCTTGGCAATGAAAATAGCATACATCTGAGTGATGAATGAGTCAAAAAAGAAATAGAGAAAGAATTTTTTTTTTTAATTCCTGGAGTTAAATGGAAATATAACATGCAGAGCCCCTAGGACACATTACGAGCAGTCCTAAGAGGGAAAAAATTACAGAAGAACCTACACCAGGAAAATCAGGAAGGTCACAAATAAATGGCTTGATGCATCTCAAGAATTTGGAAAAACAAGAACAAACCAAACCCAAATTCAGTAGATAGAAAAAAAATCAGAGCAGAAATGAAAGAAAAGAGAATAATATGTAAGGCAGTAAATGTAATAATATATAACCGAACTTAAAGACAAAAACCATAGGATCATCTCAGTAGGTGCAGAAAAGCGCTCTGACAAAAAACCATCACGTCTTCATGATAAAAGGTCCTAGTGAGAGGAGGACTGGCAGGGACACAGATCAACATGATAAAGGCTGTGTGTGACAGACCCACAGCCAACATCATCTTAAGCGGAGAGAAGCCTCAGTTGTACCTCACTGACTGATGAGCTTGGCTTTCACCAGTGTCTTTTGAATTCTGAGCCTTTTGTCTCTATATTACCCCTCCTCTCTTCCACTGACTAGTTTTACCATTTAAAGACTTTGACGATTAATCTAGTTACTGTAAATTCCTGGAAGATCTGATGGAGGTTTTCAAGAGAAGGGAACGTTTGGGTTTACTCTTCAAGGAGAAGTAAAGGCTTTCCAATTGTACTGCTAGGTTTACATAACAGAGATCAGACAGAATGAAAGGCCTTTCTGGAAGAGCTGCATACTGAGAAAATTTTAAGTTAAATACTGTAACATGAAGAGCAGTGTGTGCAAATGGCCCGCACATATTTTTTGAACTTTACATGTCATGCATTTATAGCCAGTAAGACACAGGGAGTGGTTATTAGATGGCTCAGTGGTTATTGGGACTTGATGCTGCCGAGCCTGTCCCGTGAGTCTCATTCCTGTACCCGCACGGTAGGAGAAACGACCCCTGCAAATTGTCCTCTGATCTCCACTTGTGTGCCATGGCGTATGTGACCCAATAGTGCATGAGCATAATACATCCCCACCCACGAAAATAAGGAATGTAATAAGACATTTTAGAAAATGCTGTCTGTAGCCATTCGATGTCTGTGGGCTGTGCTGCTGCTAGGGGCCATATTGATCAGAGTGCTATATGCAGTCATCTGAGGCCATGGTGGTGTCTGGGTCTGCGCTGCTACTGAGGGCTATGTCTGGGTCCATGTTCCTACTGCAGTAGAGGTCTGTGTTGATATCCATGGTCTATACTGCTACTAGAGACCATGCTGAGGTCCATGGCACATGATGACACCAGAAATTATGTGGATGTCTGTGCTCTGTGCTCCTGCTGACTGTAAAGGGTGAGAAAGCTACTTTTGTTTTGGTACTGATGACTGCAGACTCACAGTTGGGAAAGAGAGACATGGAAGGCTTCTGTGACAGTAGCTAACCCCCACCACCAAAAGTAACAGCCTAGATAGAAAGGCACTGACGAGAACTATTAAACATTGTGATGTGGACGCTGGAGTGTAGCTCTCCACAATCAGTGGGTTCTGGCAGGGGTGTGAGTGGAGAAGGACTCAGTTCTCTTTAAGGGGCTGGCCACCAGGAGTTTGATTATGCTCCAATGAGTATATATGGACCATAAAAATTGGACTTGTTGGGTGTTTTTGCTTTTGTTATTTTCTTTTTTTTTCTTATTTTGGGTGCTGGTGGGGGTACTGGGAAGAGTGTGTGTTCAAAGTTCATGATGTAAAATTCCAAAATAATTAATACAAATATTATGAAAAAAATTGATACAGGAGTCATTATAAGGGCAAGAAAAAAGATAAAATAATTAATAGAATATCTCTGCTCTTTTCAGTCCTCTGAGAAACCAGTTTGTTACTTTGGTTATACTCACAAACATATTCAACTCTAGAGTTTGTAGTCTCAAACTTTTATACAATTGAAGTTTTATATAACAAGTGTAAATTTAACAATTTAGATTTCCACCAAGTGTAGGCTGTCATTTGCAGGGCAAGTGGCTTTTGAGAGCTTGCACTTTACCATGGTGTCAGTTACCAAGTTGAGAGTTCCTAGTGAAAAATCTCAGGAACTCTCTGAGAACCTGGGTGCCTACATCCACCCACTCCTTTGCACATGCTTCAGGATCCCCTCCTTGGACTCCCTGTATTTTTATTTTTACATGATACTGAGGTGTGAGCTAGGGCTTCCCCACGCTAGGCCTATAGTTCTCTGTCACCGAGCTACATGCTCAGTTTCCCTCCTTTTTGTTTTGGCCCTTTTGGTTACAGGCAAAATGTCATTAGGTTGCCGAGACTGCTCTTGAACTCACATTGTATGTAGCCAGGCAAGTGCTGGACTTGTGATCTTCTGGAGTCAGGGCTCCTATGCAGATGGGATTGTAGCTTGCCCCCAGCCTGAGTGCTCACCACTTAAGACAAATGTGAGGTGCAGGACTTGTTCCAGAAGCATCTGCGTGAAGAGACGCTGGAGGTGCGCCTTTGCTGACTCTGGAAGAATCGGGACTTCTAATCGTTTACAACTTTGCTTAATTATGAGCGGTAAAATGACTTTGGAATCATAATGTATTTCCATGTCATTTGGTTCCATCTTTTGTGATCTGTACATGTAGTGTCTTTTAATTTGTGCTATTTTATCACCTGGAGGTATACAAATTAGTGTTGTACTATGCATTCCTAGTCAGGATTGATTATCTTGCTGTTTTTAAATGTTGCCCAAGCTAGTCTTGATTCAAGTCCCTGATCCTTCTGCCTCCACCTCCCAAGTTCTGGGATTGCTAGTATATGCCATCATGCCCAGCTATCAAGTGTGTTCACAGGAACAATTATATGATGATCTTTTAGGGG